TACAGACAGGAATATGGGGAAAAGTAAAATGGATGTGTTCAAATCTGAACCACAATATACTGTAATCTCAGTGAGAAAGACTGTAGGAAGACCCATCTACAGACAGGAATATGGGGAAAAGTAAAATGGATGTGTTCAAATCTGAACCACAATATACTGGAATCTCAGTGAGAAAGACTTTAGAAGACCCATCTACAGACAGGAATACGGGGAAAAGTAAAATGGATATGCTCCAAGATGTGAGAGGCTAGGGCATGTTGGATCATACATGGCCGGTCAACTCCAGTCCAAAAACAAGCAGCATCGGGATTGCAACTTCTGACCCATGGTAGGAGGACATGGAGAACTGAAAGCACTAGCGAATGGACAAGAAGTGAAGGTTGAGCTCGAATAAGATAGGTATTGAAAAATACACCCAAATGGATAAGATAGTGGGTAGGCATAAAAGAAAAAACCCCTTAAGTGCAATAAAGGACCCCATGGGAAAAATTCAGAAATTGGTTGAGGCAGGACAGATGGATCACAGAAACAAAAACCTGGAGGAAGTTAGCTGACATGCTTGACAGCTCTCTGTGATAGAAGGGTCAGCACAACCGTGGACAGATGCAGACAGGTAGCTGGAACACGAGTTAATGGGAAATAAATCAGTACAGGAGAGAATGGTGGAGTGAAAAGAAAAAAGATGAAAAATCCTTTTGACAAAATTTGGATCACCCAATAATTGGTAGTGAATAATCACCACAAGGGAACAAAATCAGCCCAATTGCCCCAACTGGACCAGAAACCACCCAATTGTCACTGGAACTGCTGGCAACAATGAACCTGATGTCGAGACAGATGGCAAAATTTAGAACACCTAGTTGTAGGAACTGGTAGTGAATAATCACCACAAGGGAACAAAATCAGCCAAATTGCCCCAACTGGACCAGAAACCACCCAATTGTCACTGGAACTGCTGGCAACAATGAACCTGATGTCGAGACAGATGGCAAAATTTAGAACACCTAGTTGTAGGAACTGGTAACGGATGGGAGGTTGCAGGATGAAATACAGTTATGGGAGAGATCATGGTATCAGAATGAGACAAACGAATAACCAAAGACCAAAGGTTGAATGTGACTCACAAAGTCCACAAATGATACCAAAGACACTGAAAAATCTCCAAAAACAAACCGAGGGAGAAAAGAAGCCATCCAGAAGTCATAAAGATAAGGAGAAGGTATATGAACCTGTGAAAAGACAGTGTCCTTCCCAATAAGATCCTAATAGCAACAAAACCATGTGGGAAGGGAAAGGACAGAAGAGGACAATAGCGCCAAGGAGGAATAAGAAGGGAAAGTTTATCACCCCAAAACCCCTCAGGGGACCAGTGGAGTGCCTCAGAAAGGAGATGTAATGTTTGACAAGTACTGTAGGAAGGCTGTAAGGGTAAGACTAAGGTGGAAAATGGACATGGGAGAAAGGGATATGATTATCAGGGACAGCCTCCCACACTGACAAAAGTGACTTCAACTGCTGGGAGTTGAGAAGGAGTTGATCAGCTTGCTGATAAGCCAAAGCCTAATGATCAGAAGTCCATGAAGGATGAGGCATACTAACATCAGTCCTCAACTGAGAAACGAAATGCTCAGTATGAACCCAGATGTGAGGGGAAGGATGGAAAACAAAAGACTCTAATGATGGGTGCCATGTAAAAAAAAAGAAAGAACAGTAGCATATAAAAATGGTGAAAATGGAACACACCTGAGAAAACATATCGAATAAGGCATGGCATAGTTAGGAGGAGGATAAAAATAGTCTGTCAATATTCTCCTTGTCATGAACAGGGTTGGGCAATGCAGGAGGAATCTGAACATTGTAAGGAGAAAAACGATGCCTTATATAATAATCAATCTCCTGACAAATGATAGCCAAAAAATCATTAGTAAAACACAAACTTTGAAATTAATCTTAAATCATGAAGAAGTTGAAAATGAGAAAAGAAATCAATAAACAAAAGTAAGTTATCATGGCAAATTTCTACATAAAAACTAACTGTAGCAAATGAATAAATCAAGTAAATCACTACTTCACAAAAAAAGAGAAATAAACATGTGAAAAAAAGAACATAATCGATAACATCTGCACTCGATCACTGCCTAATAAGAAGTGATAATTTCGTAGAATCGAATAGAGGGAGTCATGTGCATCAGAAGGGTGTATCACTATCCTATTGGAATTGGGCTGTCGCATGAATATTTACATGTGAGACACAGTTTAACCATAATGATCAGAGAGTACGTGGGAGTTAAAGGCTTGTGGCATCCAAATAAATGCTCACATATAGAGGGCAGCACTGAATGAAAATGTGAGTGGAGGTAGTGTACCATATCAGAATTTAAGATTTACTTTACCACACCTCTTAAGAATAAACACATTAATGTCCCAAAATTGATTACTCTACTTGAACATACCATATGGATTCTTAGCAAGGGTGGCATGAGAAGTCTCCAATTCATCGGAATCACCTTCTTTGTTGACTGCTCGTACACGAAACTGGTATTTCTTCCCTGGGACCAGATTCTTCACTTCAAAAGTTGGTTCCTTAGACTTTCCAGCTGGAACCCACAAACCAGTATCCTCGTCCTTCTTTTCAATTTCATAACATTCAATTGGTGTTCCTCCATCATCATCAGGTTCTTTCCACTTGAGTTTGCAGCCCTCCTTGTGGACATCAGACACTTCAAGAGGGCCATTAGGTCGATTTGGTTTTCCTACAGTTAGACAATATAGAAAAAATTACAAAATCTCATTTTAACTTTTAACATGACGATTAAAAACATTCAGTATAATGAAAAGCATAAATTTGAAACATAATTTTTCTATTTTTGTTTAAAATTTCACTTGTTATAGTTTATATTCCTGCAAGAAGATTAATTATTGTTGTATTTTTTGAGTAACAATAAAATGATAACAATATGATGACTATACATGAACCAGTTGTGGAGGTATAAGTTTGATGACAAAACCTTCTTACACATCTTGTGATTATATAACCTTTTATTTTATTTTTTCCCAGGCCCCCCAGTTGCTTGAGTTTGTCTTGTATTGTTTCACCTCAGTACAATCTATCAAATAATTATGGAAACTCACTATGCCTTATTTACTATGTGTGCTAATCACTCCTAATTAATTCACACTATGCAAAATATTATGAAACACTTCCTACACAATATTTGTATTTACCTTCAAGATTAGAAATCAGTGCCACTGTAGATGGTTTGATAGCATAAAAGGTACCTATGTTTGAGGAGATAATGTAAACCCTAACCACAACATCTGATTTAAAGTAGTTATCTATTTTTTTCAATCTTGCCAAGAGTTAGGAATACTTATTTTCAACAGTATGGTATAGCATCTACGTATATGTGTTTTATTTTGTTAGTTTTATATCATATAATCAACTTCTACACCATATACAACCACTTTTACTTAGCTACTTACAATGCAGCTCAAATATAGTCTTTTTCATATAAATATTCCCTTTTTTTTGTCTTAAGCTCATCAGAGATAATGCAACCTGAGTTTGAGAGTTATAAGCCCTCAAGCTTACTACTAAGTCACCGAGAGTCTATATTCTCTTTGAAATTAACTTATTTGAATATTACCATCAATTGATTATAATGTAGTTTTAGGATTTACATTTATATCCAATTTATGTCACGCTAAACCTTTCATATCTTTTTTGTCACGTTACAGGCATAACCAATCTCACATCAAGAGGAAACCAAGTTCACTAACCTAAAACAGTGATTTCCACCTCAGCTTCATCACTACCACTACTGTTGGTTGCAATAATTTTATACAAGCCACTCTCCTTGCGAGTAGCTCGTAAAATTTCAAATTTTGTGTTGTAATCTACATTGTCAATCTGGTACATGTCGCCTGTCCCCAAAACTTTGTCTTTCAGCTTCCATTCAACTTTTGGAGGTGGTTCACCAATGACATCCACATCAAACTTCACAATCTGTCCAACCTTGAGTGTCACATTCTTGAGGTTAGTTCGATCAATGCGTGGCTTCACTAAGAATAGAACATTTTAAGTCATAAATCAGTAAATTACGAAATTGAATAGACTTTGTTATGATTACATAATAACAGATCTGATACTATACTCACGTGAATATTACTGTCAAGCGTAACAACTCACACGCTTTAAGTTTTCTTTAAAACATTAGTTTTCAAACAAAATATTACTCGTGAAAACACAACTAACAGATTATTAATTAATGGAAAGTAAATTAATAAATACCTGTTTGGTTTTCAAAATCACTACACAGAACTAGTATGGTTAAAGACACATTTTACTCAAACTCCAAAATTCAAGAATTCTTTAAATTAAGTAGTTAAAACATTTTATGGATATACTTTAACTAAAAGGATAAGTATGTCTGATGATGGAATTTGATCCCACAACCCACAGAGTGTATGGTACATAACACGAGGAAAAGAATTGATTGTTATTGAAAGTCAAGTGAAATGAATGAACAAATTCAGAAGTTACTTATGATACTCCTTATTCTACAGCAATCAACAATAGATTGTTGTTGAAAGTCAAGTGCACAAACCTACTTAAATGAATGAACAAATTCAGAAGTTACTTATGATACTCCTTATTCTCCAGCACTCGACATTTACCAATTTAATGGTCAGTGACCCCAAAAGTATGCATAAAACTGCCTGCAGATATTTCAGAACTTCAAAGTATTTGCTATAATGCCTCAAAAGAGTAATACTTTTCTTCTCCTTGTGCTCATTCCTATAATTTAGAAACCTAAAAATAGTCAGATCATGAGTTACCTAACAATAATAAAACTAACTGTCATTTAATCCCACATTAAACAAGCTGCATGTCGTTAAATGTCACCTAACTCTGGTTATAAAAGGATATTATTCAACAATAACAACAAACTTCCATCTCGTATCTGCAATAAAATGGCTGTCACTAAATTCTAACATTAACTGTTTCCACATTCTAACACCTAAAAATCTCTGTAATTTAATCTTAACAAGATCTAGTGTCACCTGCTTCTGGCAGTGAAATGGTTAGCTTCTACATGTAATTTTTTTACTGACTTACAGAATTAGCATATATCTGTAATGTTTTATCAGCAACAATGTTGCGTATGACTCCTAATATTTGTTTAAATAGTAATAACAGCACAATGCACATTCAACTTACAGAATTTGGGTTTTGCTAAATGAGGTGCAGTTGCTTCACTAGGTTCACCAGGTCCAGCTTTATTGACAGCTCTAACACGGAACTCATATTTATCCCCTTCATTTAAGCCCTTCACTTTCCCTTGAGGGATATTTCCTTGAATCTCTGCAGCTGGAATCCAGTTAGGACTGTATTTATCTTTCTTCTCAATGATGTACCCACTGATAGGAGCACCACCATCATTTACGGGGGGTTCCCAATTAAGTTGCACGAAGTCAGAATCATAATCAGTAACTTTTGGACGTCCTGGAGAACCAGGTTCATCTGAATAAAGACAAATCATAAGAAATAATTGAAACACCATTCGATTCCTTTTCTAAAGTAGTGATAGAAATTATATAATTGATTCTTAAACATTAGGCTTAACAGCAACAGTGTTAACAATAGGCAACTGGTATTGAGTATTTACTTTCAGGCTATATGTATAAATACAATGGTTAAGACTAGTGTAGGAGTTAAGCACTCACAGTTTGTTAAATGTAATGAGTGGGTTTTATTTGGGAACTCGGGAGTTGCATGTACTTTTAAGGAAGCTAGTAATGAAGATGTGCAATTTGTAGGTTGGAAGAGAAGTTGGAGGACATCATGATTAAAGTA